GTTCAGTCCGGGAGAACAGCCCCGGGCCAGGGCACCTGACGGGCTCTTCTCCACAGGCCACCACTCATGTGTACGTGACCATCGTGGACGAGAACGACAACGCTCCCGTGTTCCCGCAGCCTCACTATGAGGTGCTGCTGGACGAGGGTCCGGACACGGTCAACACCAGCCTGGTCACTGTCCGAGCACTGGACCTGGACGAGGGGCCCAATGGCACCGTCACCTACGCCATCGTGGCAGGCAACATCCTCAACACCTTCCGGATCGACAGGCACACGGTCAGCACCGAGGGCCCGCGGGGCTGGGAGCTCCCCGGGGTCCAGGAGAAGGCACAGCGGGGTGGGGGGGCTCTCCATCGTGGCCAGGGCCCCCCTCCTGGGCGGTCAGAGGCTGCTCTGGAACTGCCGTCCATCAATCCACCCTCGTTCCGTCTGTCCATCCCTCAGGGAGTCATCAGTGCCATCAAGGAGCTGGACTATGAGATCAGCCATGGCCGCTACACCCTGATTGTCACCGCCACAGACCAGTGCCCCATCTTGTCCCACCGCCTCACCTCCACCACCACGGTGTGTGGGTGGGACCCGGGACCCAGCCCCCAGCCCCAGTGTGGAGGGGGAGGGAAACAGGCCCAGAAAGCTGAAAGGGGGAGGGGCTGGGAAGACTGTCCAGGGGAAATGGCTAGATCCAAGAGTGCTGTCCTGCTCTTAGCAGCCCACCCAAACTTGCTGTGTGACTTTAAGGAGGTTGCTAAAACTCTCTGTGTGACTCCACCCACAGGTGAAAACACCTTCCTCCCCTTCATGGGAAAAGCAGGAACCCTGGTTAAGCCAACAGGGGTTCAAACTCCTGATTTTTCACTTCCTTACTGTGTGACCCTGGCCAAGTCACTTAACTTCTCTGAGCTTTGATTTCTTCATTTATGAAAGAGGGATTTAAAAAAACAAAAAACAAACTATGATTCTGGGAGAAGAAAATAGGAGATTATGCGAAATGACCAAAGGGTAGCAAAAACTAGGCATTCGTAACATTATATCTGTGATGCCCATCAAAAGATCCTGGCGATCCATCCACACCCTGGCTTCAAATGCCCTCCCACACCCATGGCCTCACAGGACCCGGCCCCAGGGAGCGAAGCCGCCTTCCCAGGTCCAGATGCAGGAGCGGGGCCCAGGGGGCAGCTGCACCCAGCGGGAGGCTGGCTGGAACGAGGCCCTGCTGAGCTTGTTCACACTCAGGTGCTCGTGAATGTGAACGACATCAACGACAACGTGCCCACCTTCCCCCGGGACTACGAGGGACCCTTTGATGTCACCGAGGGCCAGCCGGGGCCCAGGGTGTGGACTTTCCTGGCTCACGACCGGGACTCAGGCCCCAACGGGCAGGTGGAGTACAGCCTGGTGGACGGAGACCCTCTGGGTGAGCAGGGGGTCTGCACATGGCGGTGGGGGCGGACACCCCCCCTCCGCCGAGGGCCTCTCCCCAACCCACTCAGGAGTAGGGCAGGAGGGGAGGTCTCAAGGCAGCTGGTCTCCCCGTGGTGTGATCTTGCCCTCTCTGGGCCTCGGTTTCCCCATCCATCAGATGGGGGGTGATCTTGACAGGGGTATGGTGAGAGTCGGCACCTGACTCTTTATTGAGTACCTAGTATGTGCTGGCCGCGTGCCAGGTGCCGAGGCTACACAACAGACACAAATTCCTGCCTTGGAGACAGGACCCAGGCAACGCGCTGAGTAGGTAGATGACTTACTAACTGGTGAAGTGTTAAGACCTGCCCAAGGGGCGACATTGTCGGAGCAGCTCTCTAGGGAAAAGCATCCCCAAAGAAGGAGCAGCCAGGGCCAAGGCCCCGGCCTCGGAGCAGGCCCCGTATGTCTATGAGAAGCGAAGCCCCTGTGGTCAGCTGAAGCTAAACAAGAGGTTGAGGAGGAAGAAATGAGGTCAGGAGGCTGGGCCAGAGGCTGCGGACCTTGGGGGCCGTAGGAGGACCTGGTGTTGACGGAGGAGGCCGGCCACAGGGGAGGGCTTTGAGCAGGGCAGGGACAGGGTCACTCTGGTTCCCGTGCTCAGAAGAGAGCACAGGGCTGCCCAGGAAGGAGCCTGGGGAAGACACTGAGGCTAGAGGCGGGCCACCTGGGACCGGGGTGGTGGCACTGCTGGGTGTGAGAGGTGGCATCTGCCCAGCAGGATGCTTGGTCATGAGTGAGAGAAAGTCACTCAGGTGGGGACCTGAGTGGCCCCAGGACAGCGTTCCCCTAACACCCGAGAGCCTGCAGGCGTGGAGGGAGGGGGCACAGGGAGGGGGGTCTGGGCTGGAGACAGGTACGGGGAAGTTGTCACACAGAGACAGTCAAAGCCACCCAGGAAGTGGAGAGGGTGGGGATAGAACACAAAGTGGGGGAAACTGGCCATGAAGCGGCTAAAGGGGAAATAACCCCCGTCCAGAGCACCGGATTCAGAGCCCCTGCTGTCCAGAGCTGGCGGAGGCCACTCCACTGACATGCCACCCTCTCATGTCCCCAAGTCTCCTCTCTGGCCAAGCACCATGCCTTTATCTTCCAAAACCCAGCATAGTCTCTGTCCTGTTATTTTCACAAGACAGGACTCTGTCATCTTATGGGCGTCCCTGGTCCTGCCCAGGAAGGTACCAAAGCCCGACTGAGAGGTGATGCTGGACAGGCAGCTGATCCCCTCCTGGGAAGGGCCTGGTCCCCACCCCAGCTTCCTGGGCGCCGGGCTCACCCACGTCCCAGCTCACCACAGGCGGCTCCATGCCCAGCGCAGGAGAAATCTCCCCGGTTAGGAATGGGGGGGAGCTTGTGGAGATGTCCCCTGAAGCAGTGGGAGAGGCGGGGGTTTGGGGTGACCCCAGCTGGGGCTCCCTCTCCCCAGGCAGGAGGAGCAGACAGGTAGAGCCCCAAGATCATTTCAGGCTCCCCCTGCACTAGCCCCATCCCAGAAAGGCAGGGAGACCTAACGGGACCCCAGAGCCAGCAGCCGGGTCACATGCCCTCCCTCCTCTTTAGTCATGCTGGGAACTTGGAAAGTGGACACTTGCTATAACTCAAGACTGTTTTTCTGGAGAGAGCCCGTTTAGCCACAGCCCATCAGAGAAGAGAGTGTCACTCACAGGCCACCCAGCTTAAAGGTCACCTTCCCACCCCTACAGCCTGGAGGGGGTTCTGTGGTGGGGAACCCTGGGACCTCCAGCTGCCCGTTCTGGCCAGACCTGCTCTTTGGTCCCCTTTCCCACATCGTCATCCTCACTGAGAGCTCCCAGTTCCCCAGAGGGCAGCCTGGGACTCCTTCCAGCTGCCCCTAATGATACCCAGAGTTGCCATGAACCCGTGCACGCAAAGTGGACCAGGCCTTCCCTAGGCCTGGCACAGCCTGGCCAGGGCACCTCCAGATAGGGATGTCAAGGCCAGGCTCAGCAACAATTAGGATTCAGACCTGGGTAAGACGGGATTGAAATCCTGTGCTTCTATCCTCCTGCCTCCGGGTGTGGAGGGTGGTGAGGTCTGTCCTGGGGCAAGCTGCTAAGGAGGCCAATCTGCAGAGTGGACCTTTAGCCTGCCCACTCCCTGCATCCCCAAGCTGACCTTGTCAGGGTCTTGCCTGAGCCCAGCCCGCCAGGCCTTCAAGAGCAGAGTGATAGGGCCCCCCCGCCCCCCGGCTTTGGAGAGAAGGCAGAAGGCCATCTGCCAGCCCATGGTCAGAGACTGGGAAATCCCTAGAAAGGGAATCCCCGGTTCTTTGGAGACCTTGAAGCATCAGGGGCTCAGGAAATCCTGCTGGAAGTAGCTTCCTCCCGCCCCCCAGGCAGGGAGGGGCCTGTGGGGGCCAGACTGGGAGCGGAAGGGCTGGTGGTAAATCCCAGGTGCAGGTGGCACCTGGGAGGAGCAGGGGGCTGGGAATGGAGCCTAGGATGTGAGGCAGGCACCGGAAATCTCCAGGTCGCCTGGGCCTCTCTCCTTGCCCTGTCCCCGTGTGCTGTGTGTCTGTGAGCCAGTTAGCACCCTACTCTGGGCCTGATCCCCAAGTGCAAGAGGGAAAGTGAAGAAAGTGACTTTCTCCTGGGTCAGTTCCTGGGAGACTGCAGGGGTGACCCCTGGTCCTCGGGCTCTCTCCACTTAGAGCCTCAGTCCGTTCTCTCTGCTCCAGTGGGGCTCCCACATGCCCCCTTGGTGTCCTTCTCGCCCCCTCTCACCCTGTCAAACATGTTGTCTGGAAAGCCCACGAGTCCCGTGAGATGCAGTGGGCCAAGACCCAGAGCCCAGGGTTCAAATCCTGGGTCTGCCATTACCTTGTTGTGGAAGAATAGCCAAGGGGTCAGCCCTCTGTGGGCCCTGGCTTCATTGTCAAAAGACACGACTCTGGACAGGCCAGAGTCAGATTCTAAGGCTCATGCCTCAGGCACTGACTCAGCCAGACAAGGACTGAACCCAAAAAGGCCAGGCGGGGTGCTCTGAAACCTCAGGGGATGGAAATCAGAGTCACCACAGGCCTAGGAGAACCCTCTCTGCAGCCAGAGCGGTAGCCTAAGCAGAGGCCATGACCTGCCCACCATGACAAAGCACTCCTTCACATGAATCCTTGTCCCTCCCCAGGGTCCCCTTGTAGAAGTCGTGGTGTCTGGGGGAGATGGAAAGTCACCAAGCCAGCTGCATGACACACCTGTAACCCCTGCAGCTCGGGAGGCTGAGGCAGGAGGACCACAAATTCCAGGCCAGCCTCAGCAACTTAGTGAGGCCCTGTCTCAAAATCAGAAGGGCCGTGCGTGTAATTCATGTTGGAAATACTGGGGTGCCGCAAGGAATCGGACAGACCCAAGTTGGGAAGTAGCTCAGCAAGGCAAACTTTACTTCTGCAGAAGCCGCATTACCAAAGAAAATCCTCCCCCAAGCGAGCACACCTGGGGAGAGGGAGGGCAGTTCACCTGTCTATCCCCAACGCGGCCCTGCCCCTTGCTCTGATAGGAGGAGCTCGGGTTACAGTCTATGTGATTGGCTAATTTTAAAATTGGGGCGGGCCAAGGGAAGGGCCACAGTGTAAATTGCGACAATCGGATCTTACATCCCAATTAAGGCTAAAAGCTATATTTTGAAAATTGACCCCGGAACTTTCTATTTCTCACACTCGGTGGCAGAGCCTCCCTGGGTTCCATCTCCAGTACAAAAGAAAAAAAAACAAACCCGATGCCATAGTTAATCTGTGATCAGCAGTGGTTGGGAAGAGTGTCCCTGGGTAGGTAGGGAGCCCCGCTTTCCACACTACGGTCTTACCCAGGGTCCGTCTTGGGCCTGGGCGGCCCGGGGAAGGGTGCTGATTGGTCTGGAATTGAGGACACGTGGCCGTGAGCGGCCACGCCCACTGCCCCCCTGGCCTTATGGAGCTGAAGCGGGGAGCAGTGGAGGCTTGGCACCCTGGATGTCCCCAGCCCTGACGAGGGGGGCTGGCCACGGGGAGGGGAGAAGCCAGGCCCTCTGCGGCTCCTGGCCATTCCCAGCTAATGGCTGACTCCCGCCTTTTCTGGGGGCCGCAGGGGAGTTCGTGATCTCTCCCGTGGAAGGGGTGCTGCGGGTCCGGAAGGATGTGGAGCTGGACCGGGAGACTATTGCCTTCTACAACCTGACCATCTGTGCCCGCGACCGCGGGGTGCCCCCACTCAGCTCCACTGTGAGTACGGAACCCCACTCCAGGGCTTCCCCTTCCTGCCCCCCGCTTCTTCTCATAGAGATTCCTGCGAATACTGTCACCCTCCTGCCCTGAGGGGCCACAGGATGCTCTGGGGCCAGTCCAAGACCCTGAGTCCCTCTTAAGACTCCTCCGTGGAGGCTGGGCAAGGGCCTGGTGGCTGTGGCTGCTCAGGGCACTCCTGACCCCGTGCCCCTGGGGAGAGGCAGCCCTGCCTCGCTAGCCACCCTCCCTCTGCCTCCGCCACCTCCTGCTTTTCCTTCTCCTGCCTTTGTTTGACCTGCACCTTCCTCTTTCTCTTGCCCACGGCCTCCGGCCTCCGTGCCTTCCCTCCCTCGATGCCTCCTCTTGCTGCTCATGTCCACCGCTCCTGGCACTCCCTCCTCTGGCTGGCCCCAGATGCTGGTGGGGATCCGGGTGCTGGACATCAATGACAATGACCCGGTGCTGCTGAACCTGCCCATGAACATCACCATCAGTGAGAACAGCCCGGTCTCCAGCTTCGTCACCCGGGTCCTGGCCAGCGACGCCGACAGCGGTTGCAACGCGCTCCTCACCTTCAACATCACCGCAGGCAACCGGGAGCGGGCCTTCCTCATCAACGCCACGGTAGGCCCCGAGGGCCCTCCCCGAAAAGGGGACCCTGTCCCAGAGGCCTTTAGATGTTGCGGTCTGGCCTCCTGCTTCCCGCATGGAATCCTGGAGTTCCCTGTGAGCTGTGTCGAAAGGGAAAATTCCTTTAGGCACACTGGATAGAGCAGAGCTCAGTGAGGAAGAAACAAAAGCATGAAAGACCTTCTTCCATGGGGCGGCCTCTATGACCAGAGCAGGTTCTGGTCAAAGAAATGGACTCTTTACTGAAAGGGAATTCTAGCCAATAAACGGATCCATCGGCATTAATCAAAACACTTGCTGGGCACCGTGGCACGTCCCTGTGATCCCTGCGAGACTGAAGCAGGAGGATCACAAGTTCAAAGCCAGCCTCAGCAACTCAGCAAGACCCTGTCTCTAAATAAAATGCAAAAAGGGCCGGGGATGGGGCTCAGTGGTTAAGCACCCCTGGGTTCAATCCCTGGTGCCAGAAAACAAACAAACAAAACTCCCTGAAGTAAAGCATAAGCACAGCTTAGTCTGTCTGTCTGTCCGTCATGGATACAGCTTAAATAGTTAACTGGCTACTGCAGTTACCCGAATTAACCATATTGGTTTGGTCTGTGGGCTCCTAGTGCCAAAGCCTCATCCAAATCAATGGCCTCTTACAATTTAGCAGCCATCTCTAGTGTCCATCTGGAGCTACCTGAGGTTTGTCCTGGGCAGAGAATGGGCTAGAGCCTCTGGGGACACTTGAGTTCTGTCCAAGATGCACCAGAAATGCTCACTTGGCCTCTTGGAGTGTCCGTAGACTACAGACACCATGGCGTCCTCAAAGAGCCCACACTTTGTGGACAGCAAGACTTTGGGGATTGGTCAGTCCCCCTCACCCTGGCAGGAGCCTGCCAGCCCACGTTTGGCCCTCTGACCATCTCTTGGGTGCTTTAGGGGGAGAGCTCATAGCCACCCCTGGAGCTGCAGGCTGAGCAGTTGGGCATCTGTGGGTCAGAGCCCAAAGTGGGGAACAGGTGTCCACTTGGCTCACCTGCCCTGCACATCCCAGACAGGGATCGTCACTGTGAACCGGCCCCTGGACCGTGAGCGGATCCCAGAGTACAAGCTGACCATTTCCGTGAAGGACAACCCGGAGAACCCACGCATAGCCAGGAAGGTGAGGCGGAGGGCCCCGTGGGGTGCCCGAGGGGCACACGACACATCACCTTTACCACAGCAGCAGGCCTGGGGCTCAGGTGCACGGGTCTTGGAATGAGCAAGTGCTGGATTCAAATCCCAGCTTAAGAAAGAAAAAAA